TTTCCTCTAAAATGTTTATAGGTGTAACTGCTGGTAAACAAACTAATTGAAGAAAGCTATGAAGCATTTTAAAGTGGTACTTTGTCTATTATTAGCTGATTGTAGCTTATATATCCATTGATTTTATATTGAGCATAACTCTCAACAATATGAATTCCTGGCTACTTAAGTAAGCAGGCACAGAAGGATTTGTAGCTATAGAAATGAAAACCATCTTTGGATTGGAAACCACATGAATGTTTGCACATAACTAAAAACATGCCAATCCTCTCCTGGAAGATGTAAAAAACATTCTTTCTGACCACCAAATTCTCTCTATCAGTACAAAATCCATTGCATTACTGGCTACCTCCCAGCATTCAAAAACATTGTTGTGGTTATTGTATCTAGAAAAGAAGTTATTAAAATCAGTTTACAATTTTAACCATAAGAACAAGAATGTGTAGTGGTTATGGTGCTGCTTTTCTGATTTGCTTTCTCCTGTTCTCCCAGTGGGTGCCCTGACAGCCAAAGTGGCTATCATCTGGGAGACAGCAAAATCAACTTGTCTGCTGGTCTTAATTTCTTTTCTTTTTTTAAATTTCCCCTTCCAGTAGTTTTTGTCTCCTGGCAACTTCCTGGACAAGTCCCTGCAGTTTTCTTGGTAAGGTTTTTCAGAAGTGGTTTGCCATTACCTCCTTCTTCAGGCTGAAAGAAAGTGACTCGCCCAAAGTCACCTCACTTCATTCCAAGGGTGAGACTAGAACTCATAGTCTCATGGTTTCTACTGCTTTTGGGAGGCATTGAAGAAAACTCAGAAACTTTGGCTCCAATAATCATTTGTCCTGGAAACTTGTAGGGAGGTGACAGATTTCACATTCAGTCTAGGAAAATTGGCAGGGCATAAAGGGTCAGGATGTGAAGCTAGAGAGAGTGTCCAGAGTCTCCCAACCAAACTATCATATTGACAGCAACTCGGCTAGTCAGTGTTACTGAGTGGGAGGGGAAAGGAGGCCAGGGAATTGACCAATCACTGCCCTACATTAAATGTGCATTGACAAATGTTCTCTGATTTCATTGTTGAGGCTGATGGTGGAGGCAGTGAAAATTAAGTGAGCATATATTTCTATCACGACAAAGATGGAAGAAAGCACATAATAAAGCAGCTATCAGTAAGTGTCCTCAGATGCCTTTTTCTGATTATGAAGGAGAAATCCAGGGACACATTTCCAGGAAATGGAAAAGGCCAGAAAAGACAAACGCTTTCTAGTTATTTTCAACAGTAGCTTTCTCTACTACAAACATTTTTCCCTTCATATCAGTCAATATACTCATGTATACTTTTTAAAAGTATACTTGTTCTTTTGTATGGTACTTTTATACCCTAGAAACACTTATCCTAGAAGCTTATGAAATGAAACACTAAAGTTGTGCATAGTTCTTTGTAAATCAAACAAGCCAAGATAAGTCACTGGTTATTCTGGAAAGTCATACATCAGATCTTTTTTTTTCATGAATGAGGTAAATTGCCATATCTTGCTCATAAAAATGTACAAAATTCCCACATAAAGACTCACTTCAATTGGGTTTTGTCTGAGCACTAACACTTGCTTAGGAAGAAAATCATAAGGATTTGGGTCTATTGGGCTGGATCGTTTTTGTTAAGTTTGAGCAATGAGAGGCTGAACCAGAGTATGAGTGCAACAGTACTTTATTTTACAAATAAAGGGCTGACCGTGCT